GTTTACAATGTGTGTAAAAGATACGTAGGCTTGAAAGAGACAAAAAAGATGATATATAGAGTTATAGAAACAAATGCATAGTTTTAAAAAATAAAGTCTTTAAAGAGACAGTAAAGGTAGTATAAAAAATAAGCCACATAAAATGGATATTACACAGAGAATCTGCATTGTGTTGTCTTTGGGACTTTTAACTGCAGAAAAACATTTGATTGTAAAAGCTGTTGAGTTATGCCAAAATGTATATTTTAAAGGTACCTTGACTTCAAAATTTGAATATAAGGATATGTTGCTTTGGAAAGGAGACTCTGCTTTTGTTCCCACAGAAAGCCAGAGGCTATGGATTTGTTCCAGATTAAGATACATCAGGTTTGACCAGCCAAGACCCCCTGAAAGGTCTCCGATGACACCATGGCCCAGATGATCCAACATCCAGAATGGTTTCAAGGCAACTGGCTCAGATGATACAGTCTCATGGACTATTCCATAATCCTAAAATTTTCTTTGTTTCCCCATAAGATACAGCGCCCCCCTCCAGCAGGAAGTAGTAAGAGAAGCTACGCCCAAATTCCCAAATTATATGTAATTTTACTTTGTTAAGGTTAAAACCTTTCTTTTTGAAAAAAAAAATGGGGGAAGTGCTGTGGGATGTTCTGTATGGCAAATGTGTTGCTGATTAGTCAATAAATAAAACACTGATTGGCCATTGGCTAGGCAGGAAGTGTAGGCGGGACAAGGAGGAGAATAAAGCTGGGAAGTGGAAGGCTGAGTCAGAGAGACACTGCCAGCCGCCACGATGACAAACAGCATATGAAGATGCCGGTAAGCCACGAGCCATGTGGCAAGGTATAGATTAATGGAAATGGATTAATTTAAGCTGTAAGAACAGTTAGCAAGAAGCCTGCCACGGCCATACAGTTTGTAACCAATATAAGTCTCTGTGTTTACTTGGTCGGGTCTGAGCGGCTGTGGGACTGGCAGGTGAGAGAGATTTGTCCTGACTGTGGGCCAGGCAGGAAAACTCTAGCTACAGTCCATCCATCCATCCATGCATCCATGCATCCTGAACACCTCTTCTGAGCACTGATTGTAGCCTGACTGCTCTAAGTACTGGAGCACTGAGATAAAAGGACCCCGTTCCTGCCGCATGTTCATGTTATTCCTTTTTCCCTTGATCTGAACACAGGGAAACTAATTTTTTTCGCCGATAGGGACTGAATCCAGGACTTTGAACATGCTAGGCAAGCATTTTACTAATGAGCCATCCCAAACCTAGGAAACTTAATTTATTATGTTAAAATAACGAAATTGAAATCTTTACAGGATCTCCATGACACAGGACAACAACAGGATATCCAAGAGGAACACCAGTGAGGACCCATTAGCAGTGGTGTGGCAGAAACCAGAGGCCTGGAGCCAGACCAATGACTCCTTCTTGGGTCCTGTAAGGTAGGAAGAATCAGGGGTGTGTGTGTGTGTGTGTGTGTGTGTGTGTGTGTGTGTGTGTGTGTGTGTGTGTGAAGGCAGTGAAAGAGATAGGAGGCAATTAGTAGTTTACATCAGGGAATAGGATGTAGACAACCTTTTTATGGTTAAAAGGCTTGAAGTGATGGGAGAAGTGGGGCATCCTGTCTTCCAGGAGAGTGATGTGTCCAAGTCCTTATCTCTCTCCAGAGCTTTGGGCCACTGAGGTGTGGCGATCTGTTTTTAATGTCCAGGCAGCAACCTTTTTTTTCTGTGTTGCTCATAGTAGAGTCAGTGATCTTGGAGACAGGTAGTAGAAATGGTTCTAACCCAAAGAATAGAGAAAAAATACTGAAGGGAAAATGGCAGAGTCTTGGGGACCCAAAGGACAATAAATAACTGAGCATCCTTGTCATAGGTCACCTAGAAAGGAAGGAGGGTGAGGCAGGAAAAAAATATACAATGTCCAATATTTGATGAAAACATCACTCTTAAGATCCCCATGATCTCCAAATGCAATACAAAGACCACACAGAAGATGTTTTCTGTGTCCCTGGAGTTATTAAGGGTCAGCCCCAATGAGTCAGCTTCAGCCTCTCACCTTTAATAAGCCTGTTAAACAAGTAACAAGGAAACAGGGAAGAGATTTATTCTGTGTGATCCTATTAGGAAGGGGGACAAAGAGATCTAGGATTTTTAAACAAGGCTCAGAAGACGATCAGAAGAAAATATTGATATTAATAAAATTAAAGCTAAGTACTTTTATTTATCAAAATAAGACATTGAGTGGTTCAAGATATTTGATCACACTGTGAACCCCGAGAATGTGTTATTTACTGGGAAAATCTGTTTCTAGTGGTGTGGCTCAGCCCTAGCACACACCTCAAGCCTTCTGCTGGAATATTGTAAATAAAGTCAACCATAAGAGGGAGTCAGGAAGATGGACAGCGAGACGCACAGGAAGTTAAAGGGAGGGGCATTTAATTTGAGGAATTTTGTTTGAGCTGGCATAGGAGAAAGCTCTTTCTGGGACATGGATGTGAAAGAGGAAGGTCAGCTGGCTGCTTTCTCTGCCTCTCTGAGGTAGCACGTTTTCACCCCAGCATCTGGCTCTCGAGTCTTTATTGGTAAAATGGAACAATTGAGATTTAGTTAAAGAACAGTAGAACAAAAAAAGCTATAGCCGGGCGGTGGTGTCACACACCTTTAATCCCAGCACTTGGGAGGCAGAGCCAGGGTGATCTCTGTGAGTTCGAGGCCAGCCTGGTTTACAAAGCGAGTTCCAGGACAGGCTCCAAAGATACAGAGAAACCCCTGTCTCGAAAAAACCAAAAATAAAAAACCAAAAAAAAAAAAAAAAAAGCTATAAACTTGAAGATATTGTCTGTGGCACTTGTGAAAAGTGGCACTACCTGGAATATAAAGAACACTCACAATCCCATCAACTCAATGGGGAACAAGCTGGAGAGACACCCTTAGCCAGTGTTTGCAGTGATATTAGACTTCACTAGTGATTGTGAAAATGCAAAGTCAGACCCAAACCAGGGTTCATTATTGTGAGGGTTAATTTTGTCGTCAACTTGATGAGATTTAGAATTACCATGGAAACAAACCTCTGGGCACATCCGGAAGGGAGTTTCTAGATTAGGTTAGCTGAGTTAGGAGCATACACCCTACATATGGGGAGTACCATTCTATGGGTTGAGTCTTGGGTTGAACAGAAAGGAGAAAGTGAGTCTGGCATGGTGTTTATCGCTCTCTGCTTCCTGACTGCAGATGCAGTGTGAGCATCAAGTGCCAGCTTCAAGTGCCTGCTGCTGTGCTTTCCTGCTGTGACGGACTACTCCACCAAACTGTGAGCCAGAACTAACCCTTCCTGTCCCAGCAACAAGTAAAGTAACTAAGACAATTACATAGTTTTAATTGTTAAAAGTTAATACACAGGGTCTTGAGAGATGGCTCAGTGGTTAAGAGCACTGACTACTTTTCCAGAGGACCTGGGTTCAATTCCCTGCACCCACATGGCAGGTCACAACTGTCTGTAACTCCTGTTCCAGGGGACCCGACACTCATGGCAAAACACCAGTGTACATAAAATAAAAATAAAAAAGTTAATACACATTGAGGAGGATCTCTTTTATACATTACCAATGAATGAGTAATTATAACATATTTGGAAAACAATTTTCTATCATCCTGTCAAGTTGGATATCTGCCCATCCTGCAATTCTACTCCTAGCTGTGTACATGTGTACCATGGGGGCATGCACGTCTTAAATTTTTTTTTTAGATTTATTTGTGTGTATGAGTGTTTTGCCCATATGTAGAGCATGTACCACCCCTGTGCCCAGTGCCCACAGAGATGAGAAGAGGGTGTCAGATCCCCTGGAACTGGAGTTACTGAGGGTCTTCTGTAAGGGCAGCAAATCCTTTTAATCACCAAGTCATGTCTCCAGTTCCACACTGTCTTTGTAAGAAAAAAAAAATAAAAATAAAATTACACCAAGTATGAGATAGTCACACAGAGTAAACCGGGTCCTACAAGAGGAAACCTCACCCTCCAGACTTCTCCCCACCTGGGCTCACAGCACTGTCTCCTTCCAACCCTTGCCTCTGAAAACTCTAATCAGAACTTGGCAACTGTAACCAAGTGAGGTCACAAACCTCCCAGGAGTGAGTGTCCTCAGAGATGAGGATTTTGTGAGCTCTTCAGGTTGGAGCTAGGCTTTGGTGCTGAGAGGTGTAAAGGGGTCAGAGTTCCTTTACCATGGTGAGGCTTGCCTAGGGCTCATTAGTCACACGGTTGGGGGGGCGGTCTAGGTATTCTAAGTGCTTCCAGCCACAAGTTGTCTGTTGTATCCCACTTACCTTCGGCACATGCAACAGGAAAGGGGACAATAGGGACAAGAGACATGTGTGGGAGACGATGTTTTACAATCCGGCCTTGTGTCTCCCCCATGTTCTGCCTGTGAAATTTGCACTGTGCTGGTGTGAACGGTTCCTTGTCAGGGTGGAGGCCTGTGTGGTTTCATCCCTCCTCCAGAGCATAGAGCAGAGGGCCTGACTTAAAATGGAGTCTAGGCAGCTGGGAAGATATCTCCATCCATGAAGCCGTGCTTGTTGTACATGCATGAGGACCCACATTCAATTCCTAGAACCCATGTCAAAATGTGGGTTTGGTGGTGTATGCTTGTAATCTCGGAGCTGGGGAGGCAGAGACAGGAGGACCCCTGGGGCTCTCTGGACAACCAGACCTGCCTAATTAACAAGCCCTAGACTCCATTAAGAGACCCTGTCTCAAAACAACAAACAAACAAACAAACAAACACCAAGATGAAACACACCCACAGTCAGGTTGACAGCTTCCTAGGGAATAACACTCAAATTTGACCTCTGGTCTCCACACACACTTTCACACACATGTATACACACACATACACACACACATACCCACACACACATACCACAAATATAATTTCAAATTTTAAATTGTTTTTAACTTTAAGAATTACCACTGGGTTTTCCTAAATGATGGTCATATGTGGTAAGTTTCAGTGTTTGATTTCACAGAGCTTAACTCTTCCTGTCCTTGAGATGAACCCCAGGTTGTCCAGCCCCTAAAGCTCCCTGAGAGATCCCTGGAGTCTGCACCAGGCTCTCTTTACTCCCTGCCAATCTGGCCGATAGAACTCACTGAATTCTCCCAGTAACACGGATGGAGAGCTGGATGCTTGGAGAAGAGGGTTTGGTGGGGACACCAGGTGTCTGGTGGGCACTGAGTTTGCCTTATCCTTGTCTTCCCCTCTCCCTGATTTCTGCTCTGCTGCCCCATCCCAGTGCGAGGAGATGAAGGCCACTGTGCAGAAATGTGTGCAGAGCCCACGGCACAGCAAGGAGGCCCTGAATAGACTTAACCAAGCCATTCAGCAGCTGAAGACAGAGGTGAGCAGTGCTCAGAGCCAGGTGAGGGGTTGGTGGAGGGTGGGTGCCATTACCTATGACACCTTCTCTAGATCCCCTCATTCATAGGAAGGGGTGAGTTGTTTTTGTGTGTGTGTGGTATGTGTGTGTGCGTGCATGTGTGTGAGTGTGTGTAATGTGAGTGTGTGAGTACGTGTGTGTGTGTGTGTGGTGGGTGTGAGTTTGTGAGTGTGTGCAAGAGTGTGTGTGTGTGTGTGTGTGTGTGTGTGTGTGTGTGTGTGTGTGTGTATGTGTGTGTATACAGAAGTATTGGCTGCATGTGCAGCTCATTCTTCTTTTTGCCTGGGCTCTGTTTTATATGGAAAGACAACCAAGAGGATATGTATCAGTGCATATTGCTTGGTCTTCCCTTTATACGTGTTTGTATATTTTTTAATGTCTCTAGGTTTGTTTGGTTTTTGTTTTGCCCTGTAGTAATTCTGAGCTTACGTTCAGAAATGATAAGATTTACCAGAAACTCAGTTTTCCAGTTTTTCCTTAAACACACGAAAATCAAGGTGGGTGTGGTAGCACACATCTGTAACTCCAGCACCCAGAAGACCTCAAGTTCTGGGCCACCTGCGCCGTATCCTGAGTTCAAGAGGGGTCTGAGTTACATGGCTGAGTTACAGAGCTTTAGTTCTGGCTCATCAGCAGAATGTTCACCCTGGTTCTCAGGTCCTTTGCTGGAAAACCAAACATAAAATAGAGCCCTAATGCCAGTGCTTGGGAGGCTGAAGCAGAAGAGTTTCCAGTTGAATCCAGTCTGGGCTGCCCGATGAGGTCCAGGCAGGGCTAGAATAAATGGAGTGAGACACTGTCCCAAAACAAACAGGCAAACCCACAAAAACAATACAGAGAAACAAAAGCCACCCCTTGCCCCCCACAAAACCAAACCAAACATGAAGAGCTGGCAGTAGCAAACCATGATTTCCCGTGGGAGCATCTGGCTACTCCTCACAGGGCACAAGCTCCCTGGCGGTCCACCGTCTCCACCATCCTGACTGTATCCTTTCCTCTGACTTCCTCTGTCTTATGGCAAAGGAAGGACTCTGACTCCATGCTTCTAGAGGAATGTGTCTCTAGAGAGAGCAAATGCATATAGGTAAAGTCCTGGCCACTCCGGGGAGGGGGGTGGGATGGGGTGAGACAGATCAAGTCCCTCTGGGAACAGGATTTTGCGTGTTTGGCATTTGGCCTTGTCATTTTCACTTCCTCCAGGCAGGCCCTGAAGGTGTTTGCGACTCAGGCTCAGGTGCACAGGGAGAGAATGCTTATGGATACCTTCCTTCTCCCCGTCTCTTGCTCTTCAACCTCCTCTCTCTGCCCCCAAAGCCCTCTTTATTAAGTCTGCCTGGCTCATTCTGCGCCCCTGCCCAGGGCTTTTGTTCTGGGTCTGGCTTTACTTTTTGCAGATACAAGTGTCTGGGGCTTGAGGTGTATTCTTGGCATATGGTTCCTTGTTCCGGAGCTGGTGGCTTTGAGGGAAATGAGCTGGTGGGGTCCTAGTGGTGACAGAAAGGGTGGGGAGGCCTACAGTGGCCAAGTCTTCCACTAGCCATGGCTGCCCCCATCGCCCAAGCAGCAGGAACCCTCACCAAGACTGTGTTATGAATACTGTTTCCAGAGATGTGCACTCTAGAGCCTATGGAAAAGGGGTCTTTCTGCTCACTTCCTCTTGGTTTCTGATTTGGGAGTACCGGGGGCAGGGTCCAGAGCCGTTCCCATTTCCTGTGAGCACTTTGCTAATAAGCTACTCCCCAGCCCTCAATCCACTTTTTCAGTGTGAGGTGAGGTCTCCATGAGATTCTCAAAGCTGGCCTTGAGTTCTCCGGAGCCTAGGAAGGCTTTGAACTTTTGATCCTCCTGCCTCAACCTCTCAAGTAGCTGGGATTGCATGTTTGAACCTCAGATACTGTTCATTCTTTATGAAACATTAACCCTAGTTCTCTTGATAAAGTTGCACATCCTCTAATTTTCACTCATGTGAGGAGTGCTATCGTTGAGACACAGTTCTTAGCCATTCCCATTGGTGGCCTCCAGTGTCAACCCTGAGTACAGGAGCGGGCAGTTTTTTCTTTTCTTTTTAGTCTCATGGTCTAGACATACTCAAGTACACACATTTCAGAGCAGGGCCTCCACTTCCTCCTGACCGCAGATCTTCTTCCCACCTTCATTGGCAGGGGGAAACGAGGCTGAGGCTATCTTTCTATCTATGGCCTTTGCTTGGTTCCCAGCCCCGTGAACCAGAGAAAGCCAAAGATGTGGAGGCCCTGCAGGATGTGGCCTCAAGCAGCGCTAAAGGTAAACTGGCCTGGCTGGAGGCTGCCCTGCAGAGGGCCAAGCAGGAGATGGCGCGGCAGCTGCGTGAGTACCAGGAGCTCATGATCGTCAAGCTGGGCCTGGACTTCGAGATCGCCACCTACCGCAGGTTGCTGGAGGGCGAGGAGCAGAGGTGAGGTATCCTGAGGTGAGAGAACCGGTGTCAGGCTCTGGCTCTCCTGCAGCTCTTCCCTGCAGCCCTGGTGTGGGCTGGGCCGGTGTCAGACAGCAGAGCCGTTTGTCTGTCTGTCCATCAAGACGAGGAGACAGTGGTGGGAACCAGGGCCAGACCCCAGGAGGCTGCAGGCTGGAAGGCTCTACCTGGTCTGGGGCCGTGGGAGTCAGAGGTGTCTGTCTTGGGGAACCTGGTAGGGGGACTGACTTAGTTATTGCTTCTTTTTGCTGCAGGCTTTGTCTGGGACTTGGGGCAGGGAGTGCGGGTAAGTGACTTGGGTAAGATGTGAGCTCTCTTCTGGCATCCCCCACCCCCACCATTCCTTTCAGAAGGGGTTACCAGTCTCTCTGTTCAGATCGAGGTTGTGGGGTACTGGTTCTTCTCAGGGGGTGATTCCCTGTATGTGTTCTGGGAAAGGACTGTTATCTACTCCTGGGTGGGAGCCCAACCTCCCGTCGGGTGCCCAGGAGGGTCTTGGAGAAGTCTATGGGCCTCCCTGGCAGGGGTAGGGCGGGAAGGCTTCCCTGAGTGCTTTGGTCTCACCTCTCCCCTGGCTCTCTGTGCAGCTCCAGGCAGCGATGTCGCCGCCGCCGCTGGAGGTCCCGGAGGTCCCGGAGTCTGTTCCCGTGGCCCGGACATGAGCGCCCCCAGCGGGCTGTGCGCGCTCTGCAGCTCCGCGGGCTGTGTCGGCTGCCTTGGCTTCCGCGAATGTTGAACCCTTCCCTCCCCCGCTTCCCTCCAGAGAAGACTAGGAAGGCATGCTTCTGCCCAAAGACTTGGCCCTCTTGTCTCAGATTCCCTCGCCCACAGAGCGGGTCCTCACCTCCTCGTCTCTTTTGCACCTCACCTGGAACTCGATGGGACGCTGGTGTCATCCTGTAGACATGGCCTGTGGCTTAACGGAACCTTGTGCCCTGCTCCTCTGACTTGCCCCATCCCTTTTTTCTAGGCTTCCCCTTTTAATAAAACTTTCAGTGGTGGCTAAGCGGCTAGCCTGTCTGAACCTGACTTCCAGGCTACCCCACAGCCGAGTTCTAGCTCCGACCCATTGCCTCCAACCAATAATACTGGGAAAGAATATGACGGTGTGTGGGTACAAAGTGAGTTACACTTTGGGTGTCTTGTTACTGTACGACTCGGATCTTTATGATGGCAGGTGAATTGTAGGGTGGAGAAAATGAGAAGTGGGTAAATCCCGCAGACTGTGTGCCGGGGTCCACAGTCAGCTATCCTGGCAGAGCAGTCCTGTGTCTACTCACCCACTCCCTTATTCTATCAGTCTTTGTTTTGGAGTTGAGGATAATGAACCCAGTGACATATACATACTAGGAAAGTGCTCTACTATTCAACTACATTCCAGCACCCCTACCCAGTTTTTGAGATGGTTTGTGTGTGTGTGTGTGTGTGTGTGTGTGTGTGTGTGTGTGTGTGTGTGTCTCACTATGCAACTCAGACTGGCATCGGACTTCCTATATGGCCCAGGACTGAACTCAAAATTCTCCTGCCTCAGCATCCCGGGTGCTGGGGTTACAAGCATGCAGCACAACACCCAGCTCCTACTGGAATGCTGATATAAGATCCCATATAGTTCTTAGCCCTGGAGACTGGACAGTGAGTAGGACACTCTAGTCCTGCTCTCTGGAGGCGGGGCACTGGCACAGAAATAGACGGCCAGAAGTAAAGAAGGATGGGACGGGGAAGACCATCCCTCTCCCTCCACTGCCCTGATACACACTAAAGGCCAGGCTCAGGTCGAGGCTGGGCCAAGACAGACAACACTGGGTGGCCCAGGTCTGGGTTCTAACTTAGGAAATGATGGTGGTGGGCAGGAGCAGCACACTGAGGCATGGGGAAACATTCTCACCTCTACTTCCAAACCTGAGGGATAGTTTGGTCTGAGTTTTCACAAAGGACAGAAGACAGGGAAGTTTTCTGAAGGCGGGGTGACCAGAGCAGAGAGTGTTTAGTGAGTCCACATTCTTTCCCGTTGCGAAAAGGATTACATCATCAGTGTGTCTTGGGAACAATAGTTCCTGCTCTCCACGTCTCTGGGTGGGGCGCAGGTGCGTCATTAGCCAGAGGCCCGCATTGCCTTTTAAGGAGCGTAAGTGCCGGAGTGTCTGCTGCTTTCCTGCTGCAGCACCTGAGGAACAGGTATCCGAAAGGCTCCTTTCTTGGGTAAACACGACAGTCTCATGGAAAAGGAATGGATGGAGACTTGGCTTGCTGGTGGCCACAGTGGGTCATCTCTGGTCTCCTCTAACCAGATACTCATTCTTACCGACTCTCCCCACACAAGGAGCCCTGGGAGTGCAGCCCTCTCTGTGAGCTTCCAGAGTCCAGGTTCAGGTCCCTTGTATTTTGCTGGGAGTTAATGAGTTTGATTTTTCAAAGGCAGTTTTGTTTTAGTTTGAGCTCCAATTTCAGTGCATGCGTCAGTGAGGGGCCTTTGAGGAAGTGCAGATGAACGTCTCCGGGACGTAGGCAGTATCCTGCATCCCTCTCCCTGGAGACTGGCTGCCCACATTTTTCCTTTCCAACCCCTATGTTTTGACTTCCCTGGCATCTGTCCAGAGATCCTGAGGGCCTGGGGTCAGGTCTAGGCTAGGCCTAGGGTCATTTGAATCACCAGAATATCTGTGGTTTGGGACCTGTTCTCTGAGAGGTTCCCCAAGCCATGGGCCACATTCCAGTGAGGGATGGGGTGGGGGACCTGGTATTTATGAGGAGTCATTCACTCTGAGTTGAGGTGACTTCTGAAGGAAGCAGGGTTGTCCCCAGTTCAGTCATTGCGTCTCATCACAAGCGTGAGGCAGGAGAGGAAGACAGGAAATGAAGAGTCATGGGAAGAGGGGGAAGATCCATATCCTAGGACTTAGTGTACATGTGTAACTGGCTGAATGAATTTAACCCACTGTCCCGTTCACAGAAGACAGCCTGAAGAGAAAAGAGCCCTTTTTCTGAGAGGCAATTTGAAATGAGTGTTATAGCAACAAATGGGTCATATTTGTTAAAGACCGAGCATGCGACTTTGCATCTAATTTATGGGCATTTATCTCTTTTTTTAATTAGAAATTTTTTATTCATTTTACATACCAACCACAGATCTCCCTCTCATCCCTCCTGCCACCCCCATTCTTCCCTGACATCCCACTCCCCATCCCCTCCTCTGAAAAGGTAAGGCCTCCCATGGGGAGTCAGCAGAGCCTGGTACATTCAGTTGAGGCAGGTCCAAGCCCCACCCCTGTATCAAGGCTGTGCAAGTGTCCCACCATAGGGAGTGGGCTCCAAAAAGCCAGCTCATGCACCGGGCATGGATCCTGATCCTACTGCCAGGGGCTCCTCAAACAGACCAAGCTACACAATTGTCTTTCTTATGCAGAGGGCCTAGTCCAGTCCCAAGGAGGCTCCACAGCTGTTGGTTTAAAGTTCATGAGTTCCTATTAGTTGGTTCGGTTACTCTGTAGATTTCCCCATCATGATCTTGACCCCTTGCTCATAGAATCCCTCTTCCCTCTTTTTTGACTGGACTCTGGGCATTTATCTCTTAATCCACACCTGAACAGTGCATCTCACGAGCCCCCTACAGTTTTTTTTTTAAGATTTATTTTTTAGTTTTATGTGTACACATGTATGCCTGCGTGAATATTTGCAACGTGAATGCAGGTTCCTGAAGAGGCCAGAAGAGGGCATTAAATTCCCTAGAACTGGAGTTGCAGGTGGTTGTGAGCCTCTGATATGAGTGCTGTGCACTGAACTCAGGTCCTGTGGAAGAATAAATGGTTCTTAATTGCCAGGCCATCTCTCCAGCTCCCACAAGAAGGAATTCTTTAGGATAAATAAACCAGTGCATATGTTTTTTCTTAAAATTTAATCTTGACTTATTTTTTACACTTTAAGTTTTGAGCCTGGTTGTAAATTACATCCTTTGACAATAAGTTTAAAAGCCACAACACACACACACACACACACACACACACACACACACACACACACACACACACACACACACACAGTGCTTAAGTCTCTCTCTCCTTTCCTCTCTCCTCCTTAATAAACTGTACTCTGCTCACACAGACTTGTCAGGATATCAGGCCCCAAGGGGAAAGATTCCTTGGGAATGCCCACGCCCACGCCCACGCCAAGAGGTGCATCCATAAAGATGGCCTTCTGATGGCTCCTCGCACCCACTACATCCCTGCCTCACAGTTCATAGCACTCAGATGTGCCGGAAGCTGACCTGGGTTCATATCTCTATTTGAATCCCATGAGGACAGTGACTGTCTCATTCACCTGTCTTTAGGGCCCAACCGTATAAGTAGCTGTGGACAGATATTTGAGACTTTATGCTCTAAGTTGACCTATCCAGGAATATTTTGTGTTTTCGACCCTCCCCCCCACCACTATTAGCACATCCCATCTACATAATCCCTTGAAGTCATTTAAAAAATATGTGTTTATCACAGTGCTGGAGATTGAACCCGGGGCCTTGTGTGTGCCAAGTGTGCACTCTGCTCCAATCTGCATGCACAGCCCTTTGGGAGCATTTAGAATCCCTTTCACAAAAGCGGTGCAAAGCCTAAGGCAGCTGACTTTGCTCGGCTGCAGTTAGATCAACAGCAGGCAGGGACAGGCAGACAAACCCAGGGGTTGGAACATCAAAGACAGCGTTTCCAGAGGAACCCTTCCCAGAAGGCTGCTGGGCGGCATGCGGCTATCACCACTCTGAGTTGACTCCGTGTCCTCCTGTGACACCTGCCTAACCAGCACACGCAAACACACACACACACACACACACACACACACACACACACACACACACACGGTATAGTAATCAGGGCTCTCTAGGGGAGCGGGGCCCACAGAATGCATACATATTACAAAGGGGAGGAATGGCTTACACAGTATGAAGTCCAGCAATGGCTGGCTGCACACCAGGGAAGCTGAAGACCACGCAGCTGTGGGATCTATGAGGCTGCACATCTCCCAGCTGTCCCTGTCTGCCACCGAAGTCTCAGACTCATTGGTCTCGGCCCAGGATGCAAGGCTGGAGAAATGAAGGATGCCGGTATCACTGCAAACAACAGACTAGATGCGCTCACCAACAAGGAGCAAAGACAGGCAGGCCAAAGCAGCAGCATCTTCCTCTCAGACCTCTTTAGAGCTGGGCCATAACGTGCTGCCCACGCTGGGGGAGGGTCTTCCCCCTCAGCTAGTCTTTCCAGGAGACACCCGCATAGATCTGCTCAGGAACAGATTTCTTAGGTGATCCCAGAACCAATTAAGTCGACAATCTAGATTAACCGTCACGTGTAGGATGCTCACATTCCTACACTGCACTCACAAATCCCTGAAGCTTGGAGGATGTGAAGGTTGTGTAGCTGGAACAGAGGAAAGAGAGGATTGGAGCTCAGCAAGATGAAGGAGTGACAGTAGAGCCACCCAGTGGTCCGTCAAGGCCCAGCCTGGCTGGTGAGAGCAGCGAGGTTGACAGGGAGTGGGCAAGAAGTGGCCCATCAAGACTGGAGCTTGATATGAGCTTTTGAACAGAAGGGTCCTAGAGGGCTGTGGCTGTGTCTGGGCTGGGATGTGGTTGGGCCATGGCTACTGCTGTGGCTGTGGCTAGGCTGTGGCTGTTGCTGTGGCTGTGGCTGTAGCTGTGGCTGGGCTGCTGTTCTAGTTATGGCTATGGCTGTGGCTGTGGCAATCTGGGCTAGGTCTGGGCTGGGGCTTCAGGGCTAGAATCTGGATATAGGCTCTACTTTTTAGTTATATGATACCCTAGGGCAGAGAGCTGTCAAGAAGAATCATACTCTCTGGGG